ATTTGACCGGGAGGGGGGGGTGATGAATGTGTTGGTGTGATACAGACAATGTGTTCCAATGGAATATTATTCCCACATATTCCCACAGTTCAATACAACATTAGCAACAGGATACGTTGGCTTCCGTGTCTTGCCTTCTACTGTTACACTAGTAGTAGGAATATTGTTATTTTTTTCTGAGAAAAGCCTTATATGAATAAGAAAATTAATTTTTTTTTTTGTAAAATAAAAAACGGATTTCCAGTCATCTAAGTGTTTGTTAGAGGCATGATGTCATCACAATGACACAAACAGGAACAACAAGAACGGAACAACAATACAAGAACTTTCGTTATGCTTCATCGATCAAGAAGAAGAAGAGGAGAAACCAAACCATTACCAAACTGTCGAAAGTGATTGATTATTGCCTTAAGGGATAATTAATTAAAATATTGAATCAGTCAATGCGTTTGACAGTGATGACCCACAGGAAAGATGCTTATATCTTACTCACCGAGTAGTATTCAGCATTCTTCAGTAATGTAATGAGACTAATGTCCAATTCTAATTAATTAATTTATTGTTATCTTTAGGCATTTCTTTTAAAAAAAAACTGGTGTTCAAAGTAGGAAGAGGAGTGTTTGAGTGAGTGGTCAGTTTTGTCAGTTATTCACACACACGCACACACAAAAGGGTCATTTATTCAATGACTTGTCTTCAGATTACAAAACACAGATAAGTAGCAGTAGTAATAGAAGACGGGATTGCGTGGGTGAGTGGGTGGTTCTTCCCCCCACCTCTATCTTTTTATCCCCTAAGTGTTTGGAATGATTACTCTTCACTTATATCCTTTTAACTAACAGTGGTTATAGGAACTTTTACTACTACATTGCATTTATTCGTAGCTATTGTTATTCCTAGTGAAAGGGAGCCGATTTCAAGTCATTATTATTATTAGTGTTTATTGACTGTTCTACCTCGGTGCTCTCCTGTTTCTTTCTCTCTCCCTATCTACCCCTCTCTACATACACACACTTCATACGCTTCATCGATTTAATTAAACTCTTAAAAATTGGAAGATTTGAAAAGCAAATTAATAATAATAATAGCAATACTCAGGAAATCATTTGCAAAAAAACAACCCCAAGCTAAACCGACTGGAGAAAGTGAATGAATTCACCGCTGTGTTTTTTAGTGCATTCGTGTCGGTGCGTGGGTGGATTCGTGTACCGGTGTCTTTGTAGCTGATTGAGCATAGGGAGACACAAATAGACAGACAGACAGAAAGAGAGGAGCCGAAAAAAATAAAATAAAAATATAAAAAAGTGTCTTTTGGAAAATAAAATCACAACAGAATAAAATAACGACCTTACGGAGGAAGATAAAAGCGAATACTTGTGTGTATAAAAATTAAAATAAAATATAAAAATAAGGGTGGGGTGGGGTGAAATAGGGTGCTTAGAATTAGAACGAAGAGTTTACTCACGGTTCATTGAATACAGTCTACGAAAAACCGAAAAAAGCAATGTTCTGTGCAATGCAAGCAAGAATAAACCCCACCCCCACTCCAACCGATAACACAGATATATATATGAGTTACAGGATTTCATCATGAGCTGACATCAGTTATCGGAACCATTAGAAAACCTGCAGGGAGTACTGGACAGTTGTTTCGTCAGCCTCGTTTGGGACTCTACAGCAGTACGCACCCACCGGGGTACTGCATATATATATATATATATATGTAGTTGGAGGCAATTGGCTACAGGAAGCCTCAGTTGTACCTAGGTTTCCTGCTAGTTCGCACTCACCAATCAGTTGGGAAGGCCCACCTGCAACCACCTTGAAGGAACTTATGTCCCTCCTTCTGAAATTCGAACCGGCGTCACTCAATGAGTACTGCAGGCATAGACGTTACTATTGAGCAACTATTTGGGTTGATTGCCTCCAAGTATCTAATAACAATAATTCTGAGTGTACCATGATGATCAGCCAACTAGAATAGGGGGTTCAAGTCTCACAAGGGACATGAGTTCCTTCAAGGTGGTTGCAGATACGCTTCGCTGACAGACTAGTGAGTGCCAACTGAAACGAAACCCAGGTCGAAGGCTTCCTATAGTCGATTGCCTCCAACTATCTAACATAGTCATAAATCAGAAGTTCATTGGTGGATAATGTGAAGTCAGTGCTACTATACGGATCAGAGACTTGCACTGCGCGTCATAAAAAGCATCTCAAACAAACTACAGACCTTCATTAACAGTTGTCTTCGCTCAATACTCAAGATCAGATGGCCAGAAAAGATCAGCAACAGGGATCTCTGGGAGCGAACCAACCCAGCAGGAACCGGTTGTGAAACAAATAGGCAGGAAGAAATGGAGATGGATTGGCTGGTCATACTCTGAGGAAACCATCAAGTGACATCACTAGACAAGCCATTACTCGAGTGGAACCCGAAAGGAAAGCGGCGAGTTGGTCGTCCAAGGGTGACCTGGAGGAGATCATGTGAAGAAGAATTGAAGGCGTATGGGCAGACTTGGAGCCAGGTGAAGACTCTAGCAGAGAACCGAACTCAGTGGAGACGCACAGCTGAAGCACTATGTTCCTCTAGGAATTAAAGGATATAATAATAATAATGATAATCATTAGTGGATGGTGGACTAGCAGTGTAGAATCCAGAATAACACGCACTTCGTCCTATTTGGGATTCCTCAGCTAATTGATGTACCTGCACACCCCAATGAGTGATGATTTTCCCACCGAGGCTCAAACCCAGTACCCATAGTTTCATATGTCCAAGCCTTATCCACTAGACCACTTGGGCCACGAGTGAGACACTACCTTTTGTGCAACGGGTCGTATTAATTATTGAATTCAATTTTAGATTTTCCCGTCGATTGATTGGACCGAAGTGCTCGGTCTCAGGTTGACATTTCTGTCGGCTTCTAGTACAGATACTTCGACGATGTCTCGGCATGTAATTCGAAGTTAATTGATGGATGGTGACTAGCAGTGTGGAATCCAGGCTACGGTCAACCTGAGACCGAGCACTTCGGTCCAATCAGTTGATGGGAAAATCTAAAATTGCACTAAATACTTATAAATGGTTAGACTGATATGAATGTGAAATAAAAATCGAACTGTTAGCCGAATTCAAATTTGTCATCCTTGAATTACATTCATCGGTGGCTCATTGATAGATAGACTGCTCACTAAGTAATCAAAGAATTGAGTTTCCAATCCCAGCCGATTTACTCCTAAGCCTATTACTCAATGGGAAGCCTGGAAAAGGATTAAGATTACCTATGCGGTTAATACATTTCAAAACTACACTCAGAATCTCTGGTCCACTGGTCGATTACATCAGTGAGACTAAAAGTTCATTAATGAGCACAACTGTATATAGAAGTTATTATTCATAAAAACATCATCACTAACTCTCTCTCTCTCTATTTCTCTCTGTGTGAGTAATTATCGGTTTATAACTGGGGTGACGATAATTGAGACATGTTGAAGAGGAGCCTATTTCACTGTTTAAACACAAGTACTATCTTTTTCCCTCACACACACACACACCCCCACATAACAGACATACAAGACACTAATTGACAAGGGATAAATTCAATTTATTTAGTCATTAAGCAAATTATTAACGATAATAATCATAATAGTCGATTTTTTTTCTAATCTACAAAGATTTCCCTTTGCTATTCTGCATATATATTTATATATTATGGAATATGGAACACATAGTTGTTGTCATTCCTCCTATTGATACGTGTGCATCTATGCGCCGGTGTATGTATGTATGTATGACGGTATGTACACTTTTGATTTTTGTCCTAAATTCACTCCCCTTCCCCTCCCCTCTCTTTCTGTGTCGTATACATTTTAAGTGTTTAACATCCTTTCACAAATCCCCTGTTTCTCTCTCTCTCTTCCCAATTTGACTTTATTTATGTGTGTGACGAGGGCGTGTATATCTATGCTTCTATGTTCAGGTATCTTGATTTATGTTCCCGAGAGCGCGCGCGCGCTCTTTGCCTCTCTCTGTCATCGGTGTTTGTGTGTGTGAGTGTGTGTAGGCGTGACAGCTGTGTATACACGGGAAAAAAGAGTGTGTACCTTCCTTATACAGAGTTCCATTAGCAGTTCCACTTTTCTATACGGACATACATACAGCAGTTGGATAGATAGTTAGTTAGTTAGTTAGTTAGATAGGTAGGTAGATAGATGGATGCGCAGGCATACGCTGTACAATACAACAACAACAACTGCAACGACATTATTTTCAATGCATTTATTTATAACCATTACATTACATTACACTGCATTCTATTGTATTGTATTGGATTAGATTGGACATATAAACAACAGCCAGCGCATAGAACATAGTACAGTACAAGTGATGTTTTTTTTGATGTTGTTTTCAACTGACAATAATCAGGAAATGGACATTGTCGTTTGTTGTTCTACCTTTTTTTTTATCTAAGAGAAGAAGGAATAGAATTCTCTCTCTCTATTTCTCTCTGTTTAATTTCCTCATTCCAAAATAATAATTTTGACAATCGTATTTTCGGGACTACCATTATTATTATTAGCATTATTACTATTAATATTGCTAATATCTACCATAAAAAGTGATGTTGTACAGACAATAGTTTGTGCGTATGTGTGTTAGCTTTGACGATACTGACAAGCGATGAATGTATTTGTGTGTGTGTGCCTCTACCTTTTCCTGAGCGCGCGTATGTGTGTGTGTATGTGTAAGTATATGTGTCCATACAGTAGCGATTCTATTATTCCCAGGCATACATACAATATGAATGTATAGATAGATGGATAGATAAACATACGCCCAAATATATACACATCTACAATATAACCTATAGAATATAATACGAATGTATCTTTCCCTTTGATCTCTGATTATAATTCTGATTTATGTTAATAATAATAATAATAATAATAATAATATAGCTACTGTATAATACATAGTTATTGTTCCTTTGTCATTATAGAATTCCTCCCCTTTACTTGGAAGTGTTGGTAGTCGGCGGTCACCGGATGCAGATGATCGGACAAGTCCAAATGGTGGACTAGGTGGTGGTGGTGGGGGTAATGCATGTCATCGTAATGGTGGAGGTGGAGGTGGTGGGGAACATCCGGATGTGGTGGAAATTCTGGAAATAATCGTGGTGGTGGTGGTGGGGATGGAGGAGGAGATGTCGGCGGTGGCGGCGGCCATGGTGGTGGTGGTGGGGGTGATCGTGGTCGATCGTCTGATAATTCAGGTGGTGGTGGAGGAGGTGGTGGGCGTACTGCAACTAATAATCAACATATTATTGTTGATCAAGGTATAGGGCGCCAAAATCATAATAACCTTCATCATCATCATCAGCAGCAGCAGCAACACCAACATCCGCATTCACTTACGCATATGTCACAGAATTTATCACAGTCAAATACACCAATGTCTCGTAGTCATGGTAATGCAAGTCAAGATATGAATAGTGAAGCAGGTAATGTACCTATAATAATAATACTACTTTGTCTGATTTATTTTATTCAATTTTGTTCAATAATAATAATAATAATAATAATAATAATAATAATAATAATAATAATAATAATAATATAATTATAATGGAAATACATCTCTCAGGATAATAATTATTTCGTATAAAAAACAGAAATGAATTCATGTAATGAATGGTCAGTTTCTTTCATTGATTAGGCAGCTGTTTCGTCCTAGTTTGGAACTCTTCTAAAGGAAGTATCCACCCCAGCCTTCAGAATGTCAGAGATCAAACCCTTGAGCTTCAAGTTACTAGGCGAGTTGCAAAATTCAATAACCTATGAATTCCAGATCCCATTACATCGTGTTATGGCGCTGTCGTCCACTTAATCCTGAGCAGAAAACGAGAAACAACCTAATGAATGGACTGATGACCTTAAGCAGCCAATCATATGACTCTGTAGTCTATAGGCGCAAATATGGATGCTTTACACCAATTACGTAACAAATTTCGTTGAGACCTAGTATTTAAGTATTTAAGTTTATGGAATCACCTAGATAAAAGAGGATCAGAGCAGTGAATGGATGAGTCGGTGAAGAAACACGACGAATTCATGTGCAGAAATTGGTTTAACCAAACTATGAGGAGTACAATGCGAAGAAATTAGGAGGCTTTTCTTGGAACATGCACAAGAACGTTATCTTATGTAACTGTTATTTAACGATGCATTACTTTTCTCTCTTCAAATTACGCGCCTTTACCTCGGACGCATCTGATTGGTCGATAGACATTTGTCATGGTCATTTGGGATGCAATAGTTTACAATAACAGAATCCCAAACCTTGATGAAAGAGATATGTAGTGCTTCCAACTTTTCAATAATTCTTCCCCTAGTATTGGTTTTTAAAGATTAAGTAGGCTTAGAATGATCAGCCGGTTGAAACCTACAGCTCCCAGTCACGTGAATGGCGATGATAATGATTCGTGAGGAGACAAAGACAATTAACAACACCAACAGCAACACATTTTTTGTTATTCCACTCGACTCTTTGTCACAGCTTTCAACTGACTGATTCAACAACTGCTGAGAAACTTTCATTTCATTCTCTTTTTCTGATGATCTTCTCCAAAGTCGTCTGGTCCCAATTAGGGGGGGGGTCTGTTTGGCGTGAAGTGTCATTAAACTGGTGGAAATATACATACAGAGGAATAACTGTTATGTTATATCATTCGAAACTGAGCAGTAATCCTTATTGTTACTACTATTATTATTATATTTTTATTATTAACAGGTGATGGAATTGATAATTCTATTGGATCGGGTGAAAATCTTGATGAATTCGACTTGGAGGAGAAATCAATTAAACGTCAAAAGAAACGTGGAATATTTCCTAAAGCGGCTACAAATATTATGCGTGCATGGTTATTTCAACATTTATCAGTAAGTGTTGGGGAATGAGTGAATGTTTGTGTTTTGTGTGTGTGTGTGCGTGTGTGAGTGATTGAGTGAGTATATATATTACATCTTGTCATCCCATTGAGTTCCCAGTGAAGCATAGAGCTTCATGTCTGGGGTCTTGATATTTCCAATCTTGTGAGCTTACTACGAGGACTGTGTCAACTGGGGAAATGAACTCTGGACGACATGTGTGTGTGTGTGTGGTTGGATTAGTAAGCCTTCTATCGCTGAACAACCGAGACACTGAGGTAAACTGTGGTTTATTTGGTTTATTTTATTATTAGGCGGCAAAATCAGCCTGGATTGGACAACAGCTAATTTCTCTTCATATAGTATTTACACACAAATGACAGAGATGGTGACTGAAGGCATTTCGACTATCAGAAGTTCTGTAATTGATTTATTTCATAATGATTAACGCTCAGATATCATTAACCTTCAGTAGTAATGGTTGTTTCTTCATACGATGTATCTGCTTAACACACACACACACACAATTCGCCACTGTCCATGAATTTAGAGCAGATACAGTTGCAGAAAGTATGTATGATCAAGCAACATTTAACCAATCAGGTATTACACAGAAGAGGCCTTCGTTGAAGGTCATCAGTCATGCACAAATATAACAGGTTCGATTCTCAGAAGACTTACTCCAAATCCTTGCCTCCTAGTACTCCACTAGCCATATGTAAGTCTGAAAAAGAGGGAAGGTACGAAGTAAGGTTGGCGAAAAAAAGACACCATCACTGTCGTTAGTGAAATTTCAGACACCTTTAGATGGTACAACAAACGGCGAAATAAATGTTAGCCAGGCAGCTAAAAGGAACTTGCCTTTGGAATAATCTGTATTCCTTCCTGTAGCTCAACAATTCAGTTACAATAGTAATATGACTATTGCTCAGCTGAAATAAACCAATCAGTTAATTATTAGTCTCTTTTCTATTAAACTACTTATAACCGATATAAGTAGGCTACAATTTTCAGTTCCTAGAAGGCAATTTTTTTTTCTATATGTTATATATATATATATACATATTTATGACAATTTTCTTCTACTTTATGTACTTTTAAAAACAGCATCCTTATCCATCTGAAGAACAGAAAAAACAGTTGGCCACTGATACCGGTTTAACCATCTTACAAGTTAATAACTGGTGAGTCCATGTGTTTTTTCTATTTGAGCACTATCCTATTAGATTATCACTGAGAATTATCACCCAAACACTAATTAAAATAGGGTAAATTTCTTTTGAACACTCACAGATTTGGCTTGTTCAGATGAATTCCGATTGCCTCCGTTGTATGTATGTAAAAGTCGGACTCATAGACCATGTGGCGAGAGGTTGGGTGATATACGATAAATAACTTTAAAAGCTTTTTTAGAGTTGACGCGGTGTCCAATATCGACGAGATGAACCAGTATTGAACTGCGTATAGCTTTATTTGAACCTTTGCCAAACCAAGTTGAGAAGTGTTCAGAAGTTCGATGACGATGAACTTGCCTGATCGCACGCCCCACGTAACTAGCTCCTCCTCACAAGCAGTTAAACTGGTAAATACACATGGAAGAGGTGAAACAGTCTGTCTTTATTTCTTGAACTAAGTATTGTTTGGCTAGTGAATATACAGCATAGCTTAGTTGCATTGAAAGTCCTTTTAGAGGGCCTTCTAAGACGTTGTGATCAGACCTCGTGAATTGCAATTTCGGGAAGACTGATTTTTTGGAATAGTGTGCACTTTCAACTTTTTATTTTCTGAGCTCATGTGTTTGTTCACGAATTTAGTTGGATATCCGTTTCTATTTAGTAGATCAAGAATATTACAGAGTTCTTCGTTCAGTGTCTCATTTGAAGAGATAGCTCTAGCTAGCCCAGTGAACTAGACGTCTAACCAGATTACTTTTGTATTGTGTAGAGGTACGAAGCCCAGAAAGTGAGCATATTGTCCAGTGGAAGTAGATTTTCTGTGCAAACGTCTAGATATTGTCCCCTCCGCCGTTCGTTTAGTCATTAGGATACCCTCCCTTCTAAGTGAGTAAGTGGGAATTTGGAAAGGTGGTTCAGTAAAGAGGCTCTTTTCGGCGGAGTATTCATTTCCCTCTTTAGTTGTATGTACAGTCACATTTATATACAATCTCCTTTTCATGAAAAAGAATAATAACAAAAGTGATGAATTGTCACAAACATATTCGTTATTATTAGTCAATGTATAGGATGTAATAGGGTGAATAATTTAATGGTGAATGAGCTGTAATCAGGATGCCCGTAGAAACGAAGGGAAATATGGCATTATATAAGAGTTCTAAAGAAATACAAGAGTTAGAACAACAAACAAACAGGCGAAAATCAATTCATTATAAATCAATAAGGTTGTTACCATGATAATAGAAGTGGTGGAATAATTTACTTTTATGTTCAAACTTCCAAACTTTCTGCTTGAATGGATAAAGCTTCCCTTGTGAAAAGGAGACGAAAACGTATTTTCCGTCTTTGACAGGCTGCTCTTCTTCACTTTGTAGACTACCCCAAAGGAGGCATTTGTTGACATGGAATGATGATACGTGTTGACAAGGTGTTCAATTACCACACTGCCTACAGAGCCACTACTACCTTTCTGCAGCCATGCGGTGGAATGGTATTCTTGAACCCTTTTAGACAGGATACGCGTCTACACAGCAATATTTCAAAAGTGTATCTACCTCCAGTACATACTCTCTCTCTCTCCCTATATACAGTATGGTCAAATTTACGTCAATCACGCATCTGGTTCAGAGTTCGATTCCCGGCCAACCTTACCTAGTCGATAGGAAGCCTGGTAACAAAAAGAAACAAAACGAAAACGAACGCCATCACTAGTGGAACTTCAAAGTTCATTGTTAGTTAATCCATTCTAAATGAATGTCTTTCATTCAGACGAAACGATAGTATTCCTGAGGGTAATCCACTGACTACCTCTAAACACGCACCCACGCAGACACACACACACACAAACAAACAAGCAATAAATTTTTGTTGATACAGTGATGATTCACTTATCCAAGTCTCTTGAAGTCAAAAATAATAATTTTCTTAAGACAGTTAATATCTTGGAGATAAATTCTATAATAATGAATAATATTCAGCCTATGGGCAGAGAATAGTATCAAATAGGATTTTAAAAAACACTACTAGCACTACTAATAGTATTAATAGTAGTATTAATAACCGGACGCTTAGATTATCGTCCGGTTTCTTTTTATCTTGGCATCTGTCTATTTGTTCTTCTTCAGGGCATGACAACAAACTAATGCTCTCGTGCACACACACACACACAAATAAACACAAACAAAGAGTGTCACACTCAGATAAATTTCATCAAAGGAAGTCGAGTGTTTGTTTTCAGAGAATTTCCTGACTTCAGAGAGAGAGAGAGAGAGTAAATTCTGTTAGGCAGGAAGGATTACGAGGAGAGAAAAAGAGAGGTATTCAAAGGGATAGAGGTTATACAATCATAAGCAGCATCTCCTTTTAATGTTAAATAAACGATGGTAATGTGGGCGTGGGGTGGGGTGGGGCGGAGGAGGAGTGGACAGATAATCCCAATTGTAAATAAGGATAAAGAATAAAAAATTAGGGTAGAAACTAAATTTTCTCCAGAAGATTTTTGAGAAAATAATCAATTAATACAGTAATTTTCAAGTATTGGTTTTGTAAGGATTTAGTTTGATTGCATGGAGGATCTCATCATGAGCTGACATCAGTTAGAGAACTACTGGAAAACCAGCTGGGAGTACTGGACAGCTAGCTGTTTCGTCAGACTAGTTTGGGACTCTTCATCAGTACGCACCCAGTACGCAGTGAAAATTAATCTGATGCTCACTAGCGACTGGTCCTATTCAGGCAGTGACCTGGAGTTCTAGTGGGAAGCCGTGGCCAGTAGGGTACAGCAGGTTGAAGATGAGGCAGTAACTCATCGAAGAAGACACTGCGAAATGGTTGCGCTATGTCGTGAATTGGCAGAAGTTAGAATTCATGTACTAGCCATTGGATCGGATCTCAGTGACTCAGTGGTTTACGAGCTCGCCTTGTAACCAGAAGGTCCTGGGCTCGAATCCTGGTGGGTGCGTACTGATGAAGAGTTCCAAGCACTAGGACGAAACAGCTGTCCAGTGCTCCAGTGCTGGTTTTTCATTGGTTCTCTAACTGATGTCAGCTCATGATGAAATCCCCCACCTAATACAGTAATTATTTGACATCACTACTTATTTTTTATCACGAAATGATTTCGGCTGACTGAGTAAGTTTCAATCTGGAACTTTACACACAATTGCATCGGTTCAAGTTGCTAAACTCATGTTGGTTTAATGGACATAGAAGATGACAAAGACTGAATGCATCTGTGCAATGGAGAACAAACTTCAGTCATATCTCCAGCAATTAGTTCTTATTGATTCTGAGGATCCCAAGCAGGCAGTCTACACCTACCCCATATGTGGTTGGTTCAAACTGATGCGGATTCCATTCCCCAACGACTTATTACTGAAAAACCTCACCTGGTAGCTTAATAGCTGTAAACGGTAAACTTAGGAAAGGTTGGGGAGGTTGTGCGTGAAGCTATCAACACCAACATGTAAAACAACACTCCCAATCCTAAAGTTCCTTTAAGAACTCAAGGAATGACGAAAAATGTCTGCGTGTGTATGTGTGTGTTCGTTTCATTATCAAATTTCTCCCTCAAAACTCCCATTTCTGATCATTTTGTTTATTTCTGTGTTGTTTCTAGGTTTATTAATGCACGAAGACGTATTGTCCAACCAATGATTGATCAATCGAATCGAGCAGGTATGTTCTTGCTTCTAATGTTTTGTTACTTACTGTCATTTCATCTAAAAACAACGACTACTACTTATATTAGTAGTATTAATAGTGGTATAAGGAAAGATAAAATCAACACACACACATAATAATAAATGAAAGCCGTTGAATGGATAACAGTCTCGGTCGTCTGAAACATAATGGGCTCTGGGTTCGAGTCTCAGTGAGAACACTATCACTGACTCGTTAGGGATTGTGGGTACATTCACTAGCTAACCAGTTTTAAATAGGACGAAATGTACTACCTGAAAGATTTCACTGTTAGTCACCATTCGTCGTTGAAGCGTCTACACTAACAGTGAGGTGTGTCATGTCGTCAGAAGCCGAATATTTCTATCCTTTAATTATATGTATACTCTGGTTAGCGTAGACTTCTCTATATGTGCATCTGTCTGTCTGTCTGTCTGTATGTATGTATGTGTGTTCTGTGTTATCGCGACGTTTTATAGAATTCTTGACAGATTCTCGATGCTTCATCTATTACATATTATGATGAATATGAGTTGTCATATGAATTAATTAGCCTTAAGAGTAGCTTTCGCGTACTCATATTATTTAATTGATAGAGCTATTTGATGGCGCAAGGCGGATCAGATGTGTTCCTCACCTCCTTGCAGAGACTCTTGTCTGTTTGGTTTTCCGACACCATGGTTTTAATTTGTTATTATTCCTTTGTGTTTCAAGTGAAGCATGTGGCTTCAGCATCTCTACGCTTGTCCTTAGGTTCTCATCTCTTCCCTCCTCTCCTCACACGATCCCCCCTCCGATGCCGCCTTCTTTTAATACGTCCAACTCGTTGTTTCTCATTCAGCTTCTCCACTTTGTGATCTAGCAGGTAATGTCACTCGGCGGTCTCTTCAGCATGTCTCCAATCCTCGCGCTGCCAGAATTCCTTATTGGTTAGTCCTTCCCATTACGGCCATCTAATCGCCAGTATGAAGTCAGAGAAGTAGGCGGTTGTTGATGGAAATCTGCAGTAGCCTACTGCAAGTGCTTTCCATGACACATGAGATATAGAAGCACTGACTGAACGGACAGCAGTTTTGAAAATCCAGATCTTGTTTCTTGTACTGAAGACTGATCTTGCCCGGGGTTTAACATCCTCTTCCGTGCAATCTGAAATCAACCTTCTGACTAGATGAGTGGAAGAAGTGACTGACCTCTTTCAAATTTCTCCCATTGATTAATATTGATTGGTGCTTGTTGCTGTCGTTGTTGTTGGCGTGATATCTGCCTCGCCTGTGTCTTTCAGCTGCAGATCTTCAAGCTTGTATGAAATTATCACTCCATCCCATTACATTGGAGTGCGTGGAACATAAGGTGGCTTCAAGCGCTAGAGCTTTGAAGTTTCGGTAACAGTGGTGCTGTTATTTTTACGGGGTGGGATTACTAGTCTCACTCGCACCAACCTTCCTTCTTTACCAGGCCTATTACCAGCTAAGTGAGGTTTGGGAGTGCGTTATTGATATAAGCATAAAACTTGGGCACTGTGATGGTAGAGTATAACTCCATTATAGATAGATAAGATTTTATTTTGATAAATCACACAGCGGTTTTATACAGTAATATTAACTGATGACCATATTTCGAGCACAAAATATTGCCACTCATAATCATAACAAGTCACTCATACAACTTTTTTCCTTCATTTATATAAATGAGTGAACATTGATGATTAGACATTTGAATGAAAAATCAATATCAATCAAATACAATCAGATGGGAAATAAGACGCTTTTATAATCAAAATAATGTGTGCAAATTGAAATAGAATTTTAAAATGATTTATTATCCTCCTCTGATTTGACTGACTGGTGGTAGCAATATCTTCAATATCTCTGGTATTTGCGTTGAGTCATTTCTGTTGCATGTGTTGGATGTAGACTCGATAAACCAGGATTTAGCAGTTAATCTCTCTCTCCACCTACCTATATTACTCTTTAGAATTTTGACTCTGTCCCACCCACTGTATTGTGTGATTGTGTGTTAATGCATGCAGTGCAGTGCTGAGTGCTTTTTTTCTAAATTACTCATCTTCGTGGGTGGGATCATTCATTCTAAGCTTAGCTAAATTCTTATGTTCTGACAGGCAATCTCACCACTCCTGATCTACTCGTTTGACCTACTTAGTTGACCTTACTCACAGTCATTGCAAGGTATTTTGTAAATTATATTATATTGTTTCATTGGGTCCACCGACAGGGTCCTTTAGCCTACAGAGCTCGTCTCTGAGTGAGTTTGTAGGTTTGAATGCCACCTTAATTCCTGCTTTATTGAGAATCCTACGTAGGGAGGGTTTCAGATGTCCCCTGTGGATTACTTATATTCTCTTTTATTTATGTTATCATTATTAGTTTCACCATCATTTTTGATTGATAACACTAATATTGTTATTTCCAAATGTACTTTATCTTATATTGATTTTATTCAAATCTCTAATCATGAATTTTTACTCATGTATATCAACGAAGCAAGAAAGTTGTGTGAGTGAGTAGTGCCTCGATATGATTATGAGCAGTAGTAATAAATTGTTCTCGAAACGTGGTCGCATCAGTAAATATTACTGTATAACACCAGTGTGTGATTTATCAAAATAAAATCTTATCTATATTGGGAGTGTTTCACTAGGCCACAGTGATCGAACCCTGAACCACCTGAGTGTCTGGTGAACATTCTACTTCTGTGCCACTAACGCACTGTATGAAATTAGACCCAGTATTCTCTTATCCTTACTTCTTCTTCTTCTTCTTTATCTTCTACACTTACCCCTATCTCTCTCTCTCTCTCCCACTTGACACTTTGAACCCTCATTTTCTCCTCATATTCGACTTATCTATCTCAGCAGTATTGTTGGCTTTTCCTCCTCTTCTTGTTGTTGAGATAATCCAGAGGATTAAAAAACAGAAAACATTTCTACTCCATTCCCACCCCCACCCCACCCGGTAGTCATACCGCACACGCACACACACACACAACTACACTTTGATGGAGTTACCGGCTATCGTTATCATTATGATTATTTCTCTTACTATCATAGCATTAATGAATATTAATCACTGATGGGTCCAGTGATTTTCTTTCTGGTCAGGTCTTTTCTTCTTATTCCTATTATAATCCCTTCTATTATTGTTATTATTATTATAATTAGTGTTATTATCCTATAACTGATAACCGGAATAATTAATGAATTATTCATTTATATATTTATTTATTTATTCAGTTAGTTAGTAATTTCTCTGAGTAATTTGATAGTCATTCTAATTTCTATGCCGTTTTCACATCATATCTACGTCTGTCTCTCTCTGTGTATGAATGTATGTGTGTATGGTTGTGTGTAGAGTTGAGTTAGAGGAGAACGCGTAGTAGGGGAGGAGGTGTATGGAGTGGGAAGCAGTAGGTTGTTGTTGGGGGGGGGGGGTCGATGATATCATATCATCTAACGTATAGGGAGGGGATTTCTCCGTCAATTGGGATAAATATGTATACATATGCGCCAATTGATTTAATATCTATCCGGTTTTAATTCCATCTAGTGGCTATTATTATGATTATTATTACTATTATTATTATCATTATTATTATTACCATTATTATTATTATCATTATTATTATTACTATTATTATTATTATCACCGTACAATGATTAGATAGCCTATATATGTATATATATATACGCTTGTATGTATGTATGTTGTATATATGTGTCTATTGAATTTTAATAATTATAAACTAACAGGCCCACATGGTTATCCACCCGATGCTACAGGATGTCTACCGTATATGGATAATCAACATTTTGCTGCCTATGGACGTCCAGGCGGCGGCGGAGGAGTAGGAGGAGGTGAGTTGTGTATTTTAAATTTCTTTACAAAATTAGTTGTTTGTTGTTTTTTCAATTTGATATTATGTTTATGGCTTTAGTTGTGCATCGGTGACACAGCGTCGTCGGTAGAATGCTCGCCAACCACGCCTCATGTAGTTCGGGGTTCGATCCCCGGCCACCGATGCACTCCTCCTTTGCTTCGCTAAGCCAGTAATAAGACTGGTAGAGAGGGAAGGTTGGGCCAGGCGAGGCTAGCAACCCCATCCCGTAAAACACTGCTACCGAAACTTCACAGCTCTAGCTTGAAGCCACCCTATGTTCCAGTGGGAACGTAAAGGAATAAAAATAGAAAATTAAAAAAATTATGGCTTTAGTTAGTGTGTAACACTATAATGATGACTAGACTGTGAATTCTGTCCTGTTTTTGGGAATTCATCTGCAGCGAGTGATGAATAATGTTCTCAGCTGAGACTCGAAGCCTACATCCATTGTGTTTGAAAAGTGCTAAAGCGTTATCCACTGGGCTACGAGAACCAATGACTGAGTGACTGGAAACAACATAGAACTTTGTACCGACGTACAGCAGTTCGAGTTGCCCCACTTCCTCCATGTAGCACACAAAGCAAGAGAATAGAGTAGAGGAAGTTTCAAAAAACAGATAATACACAGAAATATGGAAGAACGATAGAATTTTTCTTTGGATATGATCAATCACAAAGATTGGATGCATCTGTGTCATCTATTAAGAACAATCACTTTGAGCCATATCATCAATTGTCTCCAGCTGTTGTTTTTTACCAACCTGAGGACTCCAAGTAGTCTGGAACTCTACGCCTCCCTACGTGGCTAGCTGGCTGGTTGGCTTAAACTAACTGTTGTGGATTTCATTGACTGATGCTCCCCCCATGTTTTGGTTTAACGAGAACCATCTCTTATGCAGTTGGTTAATTTGCCTTTCTCGTGGATTAATTTTTGTCGTTTTGATTAATGGTGACTAGTAATGGAAACAATAGGTTCAGGGTTCGAGTCTTAGTTGGAGACATCATTATAACTCATTGGAGATACATATCAGCATCCAATGGCTGATAAGCCCCCAAGTAGGACGAAACACACATCTTAGAGGATTCTACTGCTAGTCACCAATGTCCAGAATAATATCATGTTAATCGTGAGAGATGAGAAAAATCCAGTAGATTATCAATTTAGTGTGTATGTGTATGTGTGTGAAGCATCTACAGGATACAGACGAAATGAACTTGAGTTTAATTCAATCCTACAATGTGTGTGTGTTTTTGTTGATCGCGCCTTACAAAAATCAATATCGATTGTATTATCTATTATCCTATTGTACTTTCTTCTGCGTAATCTATAAATGATATGAGCAGTAGTTGGACAGTATTCATATCAACCAGTGATAGTGCTTGCTTGCGCTTACCTGCTAGCCAGTAAGCTAAAAGTGATGTAAACGAGGCGTTTTGCTTGGCTGGGCTGACCTCATCAGTGGTGTACTCAGTGTGCGTCAGTGAGACTCAGAACTGAGTGCTAGTCAAATTTGTGATTTACACAGTTCGAGGAGGTGGAATTTCACCACTACCACTACCACCATCACCACTAACACCACCCCTACAGTTCCCTTTGGAAACCAAAATTATTCTACTTGTGATACCATAAATAGTAATGAAGAGACATCGGCAGTACGCATCCACTGGGATTCGAACCCTTGTAACCGGAAGGTCCTGGGTTCGAATCCCAGTGGGTGCGTACTGCCGATGATTCCCAAACTAGGATGAAACAGCAGCTGTCCAGTACTCCCTGGTTTTTAATGGTTCTCTAACTGATATCAGTCCGTGATCAACTCGTAAAAAGTAATGAAGAGAGCAAGCATAAATAACACATGATATACTACTGGTTGACTGAAATGAGTAGTTTTGTACGATTCATTTCAACCAGTAGTGATGTTTGTCTATGTCTGATGAATAACTAACACGGCAAAAACGCTGCTTTATCGTTATGTGATGAATTCTCCCCCCCCCCGTCCACCCAGTCACCAATCAACATATCCATTGTCAGCTACAACAGCTCATTGGTACCATTTCTGACCTTAGAGAGAATATCAATTCCTTCGATACTACAGATATGCCTTACTGTGATCAGTTCTTCCCCTCTCTTTACAGTCTCTAAACATTAATTTTCCAAGGTGGTCTGTTCTTTAGATGTATGATACAACATATATATACTACTGATAGACTGGTAGACATGAGTAGCTGGACACTACTCACATTGACGAGAAGTAGTACTTGCTTGCTAGCTGGCCAGCCAGCCAGCGAATCAAACAGAAGTGATAGAAATACCGGACAGTCGTTTCGCCCGTTTCGAGCAGACTTCATCAGTCAGCGGTATACACCGGTTTGACTTAGTGACTCAGACAGGCAAATCAGTTAAAACCACCTGAATCCCAACGAAAATAATATAGAATTCAAAGCCTCTGCAGTACTGCCGTATAAAGAAGGAATGTCAGAGGCCTTACGTAGGATTCTCAGTGAGGCTGGAATTAGTCAGGGTGGCGTTTAAACCAACCAACCAGCTCTCTCAGAGATAAACTTTGTCGGCTTAAGAGCCCAATAGATCCAATTAAGAAAAATAATATAGTTTACCAAATACCATGACTGTGAGGTCAATTAAATAGGTCAGTTGAACTAGTAGGTCGGAGTCAACTAGATTATTGAAACATAAAAATTTAGCCAGACACCTAGAATAATTGACTCTGCTAAGTTAAATAACCTAGAAAACAGAGCTCAGCTATTGCACTGCATTCACTTGCATGTAATCACACAACGATAGGGTGTGCGGGACAGTATGAGTATATTAAAGTAATATAGTTAGGTGGGGAGACAGAGAGTTTAATCTCTGATTCCCTGTTTATCGACTCAACACTGGATACGTGTAATCGGAATGACACAACGCCGCCTATACCGGAGATATTTATGAAAAGTGGCAAGGCGAAGATGGAGAGAAATTGTGAATCCCTATGACTAAACTAGTATGATTATGAGCAGTAATAATTACTGCTCAAAACGTTGTCATCCGTGTGTGATATTTAAAATAAACTTATCTAATATGGAATTACATTCTACCACCACACTACGGAGGTTCCACACTTAATAATAATAATAATCATAATAATAATAATAACAGTGAGTTTGTTTCAGACAGTATTGTCGATTCAGTTTGGAAACTTTAGCGTGTTATACATAATTGAATTTAATGTTCTGCTGATATAGTATGGTGAGGGGAAATACAAAATTAACAGTTATAACACAGCTTGAATGATGTTCACACTTATGAAAAAATAAACAAATAAAAACAAAACATTGAGAGGATTATAAATATAAGAAGTACAATAACAATTGAGGTTGATGTTGTAAGGGTGGAGGAAATGCTTTATTTAGTAATGCAAAGAAGGTTAGTTAGTTAGTTCGTACCTAACACCATTTTCATCTCATAGAGTACGTGTCAGATATGGTATAGTGGAATTTTTATACTCAGACGTTACTTGCATAAAGTCTTCTGAAGTAACTTCTTGTTTTACCTGAGGAGGTGACACAAGGTTGGAGCTGTGGGTGCTGCAGTGGATGCTCACAGTCTAACAAAATTCCTTTAGCAAATTTGTTACATAAAATCAAGTGCCTATCATCAATGGCAATGTCAACGATATGGCCCAATGGGATAGCTGCCAATCGCCCTACTGACAGTCAGTCTTTGGAGTTCTGCGAAGTATGAAATAGTCTTTTCTAAACAATCCAGGAAAGAATAAGCGAGGGTGAACAGTAAAGAAGAAGAATAGGTAAAATACATGAGTTGACAAATTGTAAGAGGAAGAGGACGGGTTGGTTGAGTTATGCCTGAGTACCTTAACCTCTTCTCCTTATGTAAAAAATCAGAGGAAATATTTTTTTTAGAAATCGCTAAAACATTAAACCTACTTGAGAGAACTGGGAACACTTTACATTAGATTCGCAATTTCGCTATAAAAACCAAAATTATTCATATCACAATGTGTGATCTGTTTGTGATATCGTATGTGGTAATTAAGAAACCAAGAATATTCGCACAACAATTATATACTACTGATTGAGTGATTGATTGACGTCAGTAGTTCTATCCGACTCACAACAAACAGTAGTAGTGTTTACTTCCTAGCGAACCAATCAGCCAGTCAGGCAGATCTAAACACCACGGGATGATCGTTTCACCTGCTTTTAGACCCAGTCTCTATTTATACACCGGTGTATCTGATTTTGATTGAAATCCTTCAGGATTTCATCATGAGCTGATATCAGTTAGAGAACCACCACTGGAAAACCGACCTGGGAGTACTGGACATTTTTGGCCGTTTCGTCAGCCTAGTGCTTAGGACTCTTCATCAGTACGCACTCACCGCTAAGGTTCAAACAGATTTTGACTTACTCACCTCAGAGAACTGGATCACTTCTTTGGCAAATATTTCATCATCATGTTATTTCTTCATAATCAATTATTCTAATCACACTGTAGTTAGTTAGGTGAGAGTGAAGAAGACCCCCTTTTTTTCTCCTTTAACCACCGAGGGGACCATTAGTGTCTTAAGGTATATGTTATCAGCTGGGTTAATAACAATAATAATAATGATAACAGAAATAATCAATAATGTACATATACATTTATAGTGTATATAGGCAAACGTATAACCACTTGCACACGGACACGCACACACACACACACACAACAATAGATACACAATCGCACTAGAGTAGATGATTTATCGTTTGGTGGAAATAACAACAATCTACAAACAGGTGCATTCACTTGATTTGATTCATAATACAATGCAACACAACACAATACACACACATACACACACACCAATATGAAAGTCACTGATTTTCTCATATTTAACTGAGAAATATTCATGACTATTCACAAGCTATGATGATGATGGTGTTGATGATTAGGCTATAGAATTCCGCTTAATGTTTTTTTTTGTTGTTGTTGTATATGATTTATCTGTTGTTGTTCTTATTTTTCTCATATTCAATATTGTTATTTTGGCAGGTTTGTCTGTGTGTATGTGTGTGTGTGCGTGTCTGACTCATTGGTCACCACCTCTATCTGACTGTTATTCATTCATTCATTCATCTTCTTATATATTTTTGTATCTCATCCTACTGGTGGAAATTATTGTGAGTAGTGGTAGACTGGATGGTATTCATCAATAAGTGTAAATTAGAGACAACAATGAGTTTTATAGCTTCATTTCTGTAATCATCACAGAGTAATTAATCGATAACAGATCAATAAAAAACACATCGCCAGCCAACCACACCAGACACCATACGCGTTCCTCAGCCTGGTGTGATGCACTTCTAAAAACAGGGAAGGTTGGTGGGTGTGCGTGAGGCAGACTTACTGGCCTGCAGAATAGTACTAACTGTAGTAGAGAAGCAAGATGAGGAAGGTGATGTGAGTAAAAAAGAATGATGCTCCGGAAGGCTTAGTGTGCTTTTGGAAGTATGTGGCCGGCTGCCCACACTGTGGAAGTTGATTGATTTTTCGGGTACCTGAAACAGAAAGAGAGTTAGTCTTACACTTCCTGGTTGGGGTCCTCGGGATGGTAAAAACCAATGGTTGGAAACAATTGGTGATATGGCTCAAAATCGTTCTCAGTGATGGCGCAGATGCATTCACTCCTTGTGACTTATGATTTCCAATGAAACTGTTTTGTTCCTCGTTATTACTATTCCTTTGTCTCACATCTCTGTTTACTGTCTCTATTATGCATTTCTTCTACTTTCTTCTCTTGCTTTGTGTGCTACATCGACTTGAACTGCCGCACATTGGTGCAAAGTTCTATGTCGAAAACAGACAGACAGACAGACGAGGCAGACGGGCTAGCAACCCCACCATGTAAAAATAAAAAACAATCACTGCTTCTGAAAATTCAAAAAGTTCAAAAGTCTTGAAGCTAACGTATGTTTCACTTGGAAAACAAGAGAATAAAATTCAAAGGAAAATACCGATATTTTATTTGGTGGATAATGGTGGCCACTAACAGTGGAATTCTCCAGGATGCACATTTGGGGCTTGTCAACTAGTAGCAGTAGATGATATAGTCCTGCTTTTAGGTGAGGACGCTGATAAAATAGAGCAGAGTCTACTGAACAATCGCATTGAGGAGCAGCAATCTGAGAATGTTTCGCATGCTATTCGCTCCCTCTGTCAAATGTAAGATGACGGATGCAGCAGGACTGAATTACATTGACTCCTGGCTTGAGGATAGTCAGGAGTGAAGTGGTAGAGCGCGTTGACCACTTCACTTATTTGGGAAGTTGCGCATTGGCCAGCGCCAACGGGTTGATCACTGAAGAAATCTCAGCACAGATACAGAAGAAGGCTCGTTTCGCATATGCCAGTGATAGCCGGCTGGCTGTCGAGCGAAGGGTGTGTGTACTGCTCAGCAGTCCGCTCTGTCCTCCATTATGACTGTGAGACGTGGCCACTGAAAGTGGAAGACATGAAAAGGCTGGCTAGTTGTCTTTGATCGTAGGTTCCTGAGTTCTTCCTCTCGTATGAAGTGGTATAATAAGGTGAGCCATTTTAAGGTTAGGCTTCGGTCGAGTTCTAGGTGAGCAGAGAAAATCAAGCGACGACGAGGCTGTGAAGTTACATCGACTGAGATGGTTAGGACATGTGCTACTCATGCCTAGCCATCGATAGCCTTCCTCGACAATGGGCGATGTTAGCTGACATAGGATGAGGTTGGAAAAGAGCCAGTGGTGGTCAAACCAAAACATAGCACTAGTCAATGAAATTAACAACAGTTAGTTTAACCCAGCCAGTCACGTAGGGAGGTGTAGACTTCTGGATTGGGGTCCTGTGGATAGTAAAAACCAATGAAGGCTAGAAACAATTGGTGATGATATGGCTCAAAATTGTTCTCAATGGCGCAGATGTATCCACTCCCTGTGACTTACAATACCCAATAAAACTATATTGCTCTCCGATACTAGTATTCTTTTTGCCTCATATCTCTATTTACTGTCTCTATTCCGCATTTCTTTCTACTCTCTTCTCTTGCTTTGTGTACTAAGTGAAGTGTGGCGATTTGAACTGCTGCACATCGGTGAAAAGTTGTGTGTTGAAATCAGTCAGTCAGTTAGTAGATGTGCTTGATGGTGCACCCACTAAGACTCGAGCCCAGTACCTATCGCGTTTTAAACGCCAAATTGTTATCCCCTAGACTAGCCCCAGATAGTACGAAATAAGCATCCTGGAGGATTTTACTGCTCGTTGCCTTCCATCAAACAATATCAGTGTCAATCGTCAGACACCATCGTCGAACATCGTCAAATGAGTCAACGGGGAACACAAGTCATTGATTCTTCTAATCACTATAATCATTTGAATCGGTTGTTATCTAACCGAAAAGTGGTCATCATGAATGAATCCTTTGAGAAACACCCACACACGCATACAGAACTTTCTTTCATTTCATAAGTTATGGAATATAACTTGCATAATTGTGACTATTCTGCCATTTTCTGAGGTTCCAAAACAAAATAGTTCTGGAGATGTAATTTTTAGTTTGGAAGTTTTGATGTATTCCATATTTAGTTCAATTTGGACTTTGCTATTGATTGATAGGACCAAAGTATTCGGCCTCTGCTGACATGACGACGGATGCTTCGACAATGTCTGGGGATTTGGCTTGAAGTAATTTGGTGGCCCAAGCGGTCTGGTTGATGACTGTGTAGCATTTGAAATGCAATGGGTTATGACTGGGCTTGAGGCCCACTGGGAAAACCAGGTACATCTACTAGCTGATGAGTTCCGAATAGGACGAAATGTGCGTTGTCCTGGATTCCACTGCTAGTCACGGTCCACTAAAGTATTTCATATTTCTGAGATTAGTTAGCTGTGAGATTTTCGAATAGATTCCAGTTTCATTTCAAACCACACTGGAATTCTGGTTAGTTATTTGGGCAGAGTCGCTAGCCTCACACCCAACCTTCTGTCTATTTCTGAATTTACACTATAGGCTAGTAGAGGATGATAGGCGAAGCTTTTAGTAGTGAGTCGACGGGGAATCGAACCCTAGACCACGTACAACAGAGAGTTACAATACAACTTCAGACATTGTCTATTTACCTTAAGTTATATATTCAAGACAATCTTTATATGCATGTGTATTTTTCCGTTTTACTTTAGGTTTCCATCCATCATCTCTACGTCCTGAGGAATTTTACGCCGCCGCAGCAGCTGCAGCAGCTAGTAGTACACCAGTTGGAGGAGATATTGACAGTCATATGAATACTGGACGTGGAGGAGGATATATGCCGAGTTATCTTGGAGGGAGTATGACAGATTCAGATTTTCCTGGTGTTAACAATACACTCGGTGGTGGTGGTGGTTATCCACGTGGTGTCGGTGCTGGGGGTTATCCACCACCTCTGTTAGGCGGTCACCTGCCTTACGGTCCATATTCTGCTCCATCGCCCACTCCACCGTCGAATACTAGCAGTCTGTCTGGAAGACAGTCGTCGAATCAATTTCCTGGACAATTTGGTCTATTTCAAAATTCACATAATACTAATACTAATAGCACTAATTCAGAGAGTAATAGTAATAATTATTCAGCATCTGAGTCAAAACTGCGTACAGCTGCTGATGTCGACAGTGTTCAAAAAGCGACATTGGCTGTCGCTCAGTATGCCGCAGCCCTCGCCTTACAACAGCAACAGCAACAGCAGCAGCAACAACAACAGAAACGCAATTATCCTGTAACAACAACGACTGGTCTAAGTCCTGGCTCGAATAATTCTACACCCAGTGTATCTGTTGCCGGTTACACTTCACCCAACAGTAACAGTAATGCTACATATCGTGGTATGACTAACGGACATCATTCAATGTCAAATCATCCAACTCCTCTGTCACCATCGCATAATGGAAGTCCTATCCCATCGTCTGGTGTTCCATTCAACGGGTCGAATAGTAGTAACATTCCGCCGGCTCATTTACAGCAACAACAACAGCAGCAACATTCAATGACAGCTAACTCACCGACATCATTTCCAGTGTCAAACAGTCGACACTCGAATTTAAGTCTACCACACTATGGACATCATTCTAATCATGTCAGTAATCATCATCATCACCATCATCATCATGGAGGAGGATTCCTACCGTCGGTTGGTGGTCAAGATGCTATCCCGCAACCATCGTTACAAGATATACATGCTGGTTAGATTAAAACCACATACACACACATACAAAAAAATCAATATTTCAGGAAATCATTAAACACTTATGAGGAGATATATATCTATCTATATGTATGTATGCATATGTATCTATGTTTGTATGTATGTATTCAGTAGTCAACGTCTAACTCTTGCCCAATCGATCTGTATACATGTATCTGAAACCCGGTGGATCCATTTCCTCCTCACATTATGATTATTATTATTACTATTATTGGGATCATTAGTATCATTGCCATTGCTACCCATCATAGTTACATAACACACATTACGTAAGCCGACAAACAAACAAATGGACTGTGAAGTCTGCGCCAAACTTCCCAAACACGGAACACTGGACAACATGAACTGATAAATATACATGTGGTTTATGTATGTATGTCCTGCATAAATCAATAATCCGCACACACACACAAACACACCTAACCTATTGATTAGTCAATTTTTTTAATCTTAAAACTTCTAGTATGTTTTTCTTCTGCTTCTTTCAATTTTTCTGTTGTTTTTTTTACAAAGTTTTTCATTTCAGGCAGCCTACTTCAGTGTTATGTATTCCTGACCTGTCTCTGTGTGTGTGTGCCTGCTGTACATTTCTCGTAGTGATTGGTGTTGTTGTTGATAGTGTCACAAACGGTTGCCATGGCAACCGACACCACTGCCGATATTCTAGATTGGTGAATAAGGTAACTTTAATGAGAAGGAGGAATACTAGTGATAGTAGTAATAATGTAGTGATCTTGACTGTGTGAACTTCATTTCCCCCATTATGCATAAACGATCCTCGTGGTCACATTATCATATATTTGAACAATGTAATACTAAGCTTATTGATTATACATTTACTCATTCACTCATTTATCCATACGCCCACGCACACACACATCTTACTAGTCATGTACTTGCTGCTGTTATCACTTTTCGATTCTTCTTCTGTTGGTCTTCTTTCTTTCTTCCATTCTGAACCCTTGCACTATGTGTTTACCAAAATGAAAAATCGATTGCACTCTATTTATCTTCTGCTTTAATAATATTTATAATAATAATTATTGTTACTTCATTTGTTGTTCTTTTCCCCCTGACAACAAGATAACCTTTTCCTTGTCATGCTACAAACAACAGTAATTTTGGATAAAACGCTCAGACGAGACTTAAAACAAGAGTGATTACGTAATACTAATTGATTGATTAATGATCCTTTCTCTGTCTTTGTTTCTTTTTTTTGTTTTACTTGATCTTTAACCGATTTTCAAATTCCCATCACTTTTCATTACAAATAATGATTACAAATGTGTGTACACATGTGTATATTTGTGAGTTTCAGTGCGGAGGCGTACCAGCGTGTGAGTACGAGGTTAATTTGTTGGCCTACTTGTATGTATGTCAGTATGTAAATGCGTTCATTGCTGTTAATATTATTATTATTATTAGTCTTACTAACTATTCTTGAGGTATTCTTGAGGATAGACTGGTCAGGTTTGAATTCCTCTGTTCTTACTCTTCCCCATGCGCTGTTTCTCCAACATTCACAACATCATTCATATACACACAGAGACATTTAAAGGGCCTTTCTGAAAGGATAACATGAACTCGATTCTTAATGTTGATATTACTCATTTTTAGTTCCTTCTTCAGTCGCACACACACACGCACACATGCACACAAACATTTATACAAAGACGTTTATATGAAAGTGATTGGTTAAGCCATTAACTATGTATTGAGAAAAAAAAAGAAGCATAAAGGCCTATTACATAACATGAGTGTAATAACTCAAATCTCATGATGTTTAATCAGTCAGTGATCGATCCCATGTAGAATCAATATGAGCGTTATCAATGGCATCATCATTATCCCAATGAAAACTTCACTTATCACATACCCATCCCCACCTCGCACACAGTTCATGTACTCGTTATGTACACACACACACACGTGGAGATACTGATAGACACATTGAGACTTAATGGTCCACCCCTTCGGCCCCCGCACCCTCACATCCACCTACACTATGTACAACAAATACTACTGTTACAACTACCACTATTACTAATACTACTACTACTACTATGGATACTATTTTATTCTAAAATGTGGATGATGAAAGTAGTAGTCTACCGAAAAATATCATTTCCCAACCCCCACCCCACCCCACGCCTCCCTCCCTCCCTCCTTGTTATTTTTCCTCCAATATTCACTTCTTGGGGTGTTTTTTATAAAATAATAATAATAGTAATAATAATAAACTGGAGGATATATCCATGCATATATATATATATGCCTACGAACTATGTTTTTTTCTTTTTCCGACTAATTAATCAATTAATTGATCGATCGATCGATCAACCGATTGACTGATCGATCGATAAGATCAAGTGATCGTGAAAAGAAAACTTTTTCTCTTTTTTGGTTGCCACACATTTTATTTTTGTTTTACTTCTATCTATCTAACTATCTATCTATTGTTATTATTATAAATGGCAAAACATACACAAAATCAATTGTTACACACCAACAGACACAAACACACACAAACAAACAAATATGCAGACACTGCTCACACACACACAGGAGCATATATATAAATATAAATATATAATATACGTATATGTATACACAAATATGAAAATAAAAATTTCGGTCTTCATCTATAAATAAACTTGTGTAATAGTTGATATGAGTTTTTTAAAATATTTTTGATGTTCTGATATTCACATGCGTAGGCGGAGGTGGAGTGGGTGGGGTCGGATGGGGGAACCGAAATGTTTAATCCAATAGAATAAGTGATGCCTTTTGCACAAATGGTAACTCAAGTGGTCTAGTGAATAGTGTTTTGGCGGCTGAAACGCGATAATTACTGGCTGGGTTCAAGTGTCAGCGGGGGGGGGGACATCCAACTAGGGTATTGTAGGTACATCCAATAGCTGAGAGGTATCACAAAATAGGAGACGGAGGAGGAGATGAGCATCCTGGAGGATTCCACTGCTAATCATCCCATCAATCAGATAACATTTTGAAATTATGTTATGTTTATGAACGCGATAACTAATTAGGCGTACTACAGGAGAGAGAGTGTGACGACATTGTCTGGCTGTGAAGACCTCGATAGGTAGCGTAGAGTTGGGTTCACAACTGTAAATTATTTAGCGAAAAAAATATGGGTTCCTTTTTAGTTAGTTCCTCATCAACGGCCGGTTGTATATTAATATATATATTTTTTATATCAAAGTTCGTTTTACCAATCAAGTGGTTATTTTAGTTGATCAGTTTTAGGTATACGGATGTGTGTGTGTGTGAAATTTAGACGTTAAAAGTCATCAGAACAACTAGCTGATAGATGCTAGCAACAATTATTATTGTTATTGTTCTCTTGGGTTCCTAGTGCAACATAGGGCTTCAACTGCACGCCTCCACTTGCTTCTGTCTTCTGCTGAACTTTTCACATGCATCCATGTTAGTCTATACTGTTCCAACTCCTCTTCGCACGATCTCTTCCATGTCATCCTTGCACTGACGTCCCACTCGCCGCTTCCCTTTCGGGTTCCACTCGAGCATTGGCCTGACGCGCGATGTCACCCAGTGACCTCCTCAGCCAGTGAGTGTCCAATCCATCTCCACTTTCTCCTGCATATTTGTTGGGCGATTGGTTCCTGTTTTGTTCGTTTCCATATCCTCTTGTTTGTGATTCTTTCCGGCCATCTAATCTTCAGTATAGAACGAAGACAGTTGTTGATAAAGGTTTGCAACCTGTTGAAAATATTCTTGGTGACCCGCCAAGTTTCTGATCCGTATAGCAAAACTGACTTGACGTTTGTATTGAAAATCCGAATTTTGTTGTTGATGCTGGCAACAAGATATCTAAGTTTTGAAGGAGGGGGTGAAAAATCAATTGATTACGGAATTCAAGTTAAGTTAATTCTTAGGCGTTAGTTACAAGTTATTACATAATCAAGAAATTTGTTAAAGAGCGATGATGACTAAGAAGAATGGGACGACTCCGAAGAATTTCGTAAAATACAAACAAACAAATTAATAGAATTAGCTAGAATTGTAAAATTTAACAAAGTAAAAGAGATAATTACGAGGGGAGGACATGGCAAAGAAAGGGGCTGTACAAATTTCTTTTGAACACGCACAGATTTGGTTTGTTCAGATGAATTTCAATTGCCACTTCTGTATGTATGTGTGTATGTAAAAGTCGGACTCGTACACGATGCAACACATTGGGTGATATACGACAAATAGCTTTAAAAGCTTTGTTAGAGTCAACTTGATGTCCAGCCAGTATCGACGAGATGAGCTAGTATTGAGCTGTGTACATCAGCTTTATTCGCACCTTTGCCAAACCAAGATGTGAGGTGTTCAGAAATTCGGTAAGGATGAACTCGCCTGATCGTACGCCCTATGTAACTAGCTCCTCATCACAGGCAGTTAAACTGGTGAATACACATAGAAGAGGTGAAACAGTCTGTCTTTATTTCTTGAACTAAGTATTGGTTGGCTAGTGAATATACAACATAGCTTAGCTGCATTGAAAGTCCTTTTAGAGGGCCTTCTCAGACGTTGTGACCAGACCTCATTATTGATATCACCCGTGAATTGTAATCTTAGGAAGACTGATTTTTTCGGAAAAGTGTTCACCTTCAGCTTTTTCCTTTCTGAGTTCATGCGTTTGTTCACCAATTTAGTCGGATATCCGTCTCTATTTAGTAGATCACGAATATTACTGAGTTGTTCGTTCAATGTCTCATATGAGTAGATCAGCATAGAGAACACGACTCAGATTCTGTTCAACACAAATGTGAAGTCAGTGAGTCAGTCAGTCAGTGACTTCTTCTATGTTGGTCAGGAACTTGGCCAATGTATCACGAAAAGCATTTCCAACAGGCTACTTTACACTTTCATCAACAGCTGCCCAATACTCTGGCTGAAGATCAAATAGCCAGCCAACCAACCAGACGGCCAGCCAGAAAGATTTAGCGACAAGA